ACACAGCAGGAGGCGCCTGCCCGAGCCCTGCACATGCGGTCCGAGCGCACGGCGGGTCGGCATCAGTGCCCTCGGGCGCTCAGCCGCACTCCACCTGCCAGTGGCTTTCTTTCTCTTTTTAGAAAGCAAAATTACAGAATTTTACATTCCGTGGTCTGTGAAATGTTTCTTCACTCCCGCCCCCTCTTCTCGCCGTCTCTGGTACCCACACTCACCCTCCCTGTCTCGCGTCTTCACATCTGCCACTGTCTGCCAGGCTGAAGGTGCCCAGGGCACTGAGTGACTCCCCTCAGACAGCTCCCAGGTGCAGCGCCCGGGGGTAGAGGTGGGGCCCGCGTCTACAATCGCCAGCTCTCTCCTCCGCCCTCTCCCTCCGAGGGTCTGGGGGTCAGGTGTACCCTGCCTCATCACGCTCACCTGGGGATGGCGGGCAGTCCATGACAGCCAGAGCCCCACGGGTGCAGGACGTGGAAGGAACTTCTGACTCCCGACTCGTGAGCCCACTCATGGAGATCAGACCCCGTTCCAGAGAAAACTAGTCATTCTGTGCACAAATTCTGCTTGTAGACGCTGACCCGTTTTGTGAGAAATGCACGCCTTTCCTGACAATGTTGGACATGTCTGCTGCGGAGGGCAGCAACCTGAGGCTACGGGGGCCGGGGGACGTGTCCGGGTCCTTCTCCCTGCTCCTGCCGTGAACCACAAGACGGGACAGACCTCCCACACAATGACTACCCGTGTGACAAGTTCGGAGATGTTAGGAAAGCTTAAAGCGACAGAGGTGGGTTTCCAGGGTTCTGGAAGAGTAAGACATGGTCTAAACGCACGTACGCATACTTTCTGAAAGCAAATGTTTGCGAACAACGTGTCGTGTCGGCAACGTAGCGGGACAGCTGGGAGCGCTGACAGCCCGCCCTACTCGTATTCGCAATCGCTCCCTTCGCTCGTTGGCTAGTTTGTAAGAGTTACTGCAAGTTGTCTCTTTGGTGCTCCTCATCTGGTGACAATCAGCTTACGTTTCATAAATTCCAACGTCGCCCTAGCCGTCCCCAGTACGTTTAGTAACTGATATCACAGAACTTTTCAAGAGACCTGTGTGCACTCTGAGTAGTAACCATAAAGGCTTAGACAGAAAGCCCGCTTAAAGGCTAGATCGGGGGTTGCTTTCATCTGTTACCAAAAAGCACAGTTGTTACTTAAGACGTTGCATTTTGTTTTCCTTTGTAATTAGCAAACGGTTTGCTCTTGCGAACCTCCCAGACGGTGGTGGGTGGTAAAAGCGTGACACCCGTGTGGCCGACCCCCGGGAAGGCTCCAGTCTCATGCCCAGAGCGGGAGGGTGCCCCACGCCTGTGGTCAGGCTGGGTGAAGCTAGGGTGGGCCATGGCGCTGAGCCCTCACTGGGGTGCTCTCTGTCTCTGTCAGTCATTAAAGAGGCCAATAATTAAGCTTTACAAAAGCTATGAGGTGCAGACAGGTAGCGCCCTGTCTCACAGCGAGGACGAGAACGAGGACGGGGCCGAGGCCGGACCACACGGACGCTGCGCAGATCGCCCCATGCTCTGCTGCGATTACAGGGGCGAGTCCAGGCTGTCCAGTGCCTTTCAGGCCCACTCACAGAAGTTACCCTCGCGCTTAGGGGTGTGCTTGAGGGTTAGGGTAACGTGCACGTCGCGAACACGAGCTTGGCGCTCCAAGGACAGTCTTCCGTCAGGGGTTTACTAGGCACTACTTGGCCGTGACATCAGTGACCCTTGTCACCCCTCCGTCTCATCTCCACACATTGGAGCCCTGCATGCCATCACTGTCCCCCTCGCTTCCGACGCCGTAAATGGAACGAGGGGCCCTGGTGGCCACAGCCCTCAGGCGGGGGGGAGCTCAGCTGGTCCCTGAGCTTCAGCCTCACTGCTCTGCTTTTCTGTCTTCTCCAGAGTGACCGCATGTGCTGGAGGACAGAGAAATGTAGTTACTGAATCCGGTCGGACACGCACCTCCCGAATTACCTGCCCCCCGTCGAGAAGGGCTGCAGTTGGTCCAGACACATGGATGCCCCGGGAGCCACATGAAGGTAACGTGGCCTGTGCGTGCACGAGCAGACAGGCGTGTGCATCTGCCTCTCGGGTGTCTCTTGGAAAAAGCATAAAGGCAGGGCTGTGGACAAGGAGGCTTTTTATGTGATAAAGAGCACAGCGCCGTGGACACGGTATTAAGTCAGAATTTGTGATGTGCTGCGCGTAGACCCAACGGCCTCCTCCTATCCGATGCCGTGCCTCTCGAAATGCATCAGCTGGTCTCGCTCACCCTCAGCAGGGTCTAGCTGCTCTGTCCGAAGCATCCTGAAAACCAGATCTATCCGATGCTGTCCCTCTCGAAATGCTTCGTGACCACATCAGCTGGTCTCGCTCACCCTCAGCAGGGTCTAGCTGCTCTGTCCGAAGCATCCTGAAAACCAGATCTGTCTCCACTGTTCAGTCTGTAGGAGACAGAGCCAGTCTTTACTCAGGGCCTCATTGCATCCAAGTGTTCTGGAAGGCTCCATCACTGTGGACAGCCCTTCCTCTGCACAGCTGGCGTGGGGTCTCCGCTGCTCCACCATGGGCGGTTTCTGCCGAGAACGTGAGCCAGGGTGAAGCACCCACACCACAGAAGGCTGAAGTCACCCTTTGTGTGTGTAGCGTAGTGGCGCTGAGCGTGGCCACAGGGTCTCCAGAGCAGCATTCACCCTGCAAAGCTGCCAGCCTGTGCCCACAGAGCCGCAGGTCTGCCCTGCCCTCCCCCCTATGCCCCAGCAGCCACCTCTGGGTCCCGTGTCTGTGAAGGGGCTGTCGTGGGTACTTGTGCAAAGGAAGCCTTACACCCCACCCCCATGTGCTGGCCTGTCTCAGCCTGATGCCACAGGGCCCAGCCATGCCGCAGCTTGTCAGAAAGTCCTTTCTTTGTGGCTAACTAGCACTCCGGCATATGACGATGGCCAGACAGTCCTGTCCCCACCTTCCAGCCACTGCCAACTGTGCTCTTATTTTTTTAATTATTTATTTAATTTTATTTGTTATTATTATTATTTTTTTAAATGTTGACCAGAGAGACAGAGGGAGAGAGAAAGGGAAAGTGAGAAAGCAAGCCGCCAGGTCCAGGACTCAAACCATGGTCAGCCATGTGGGAGTCCAGTGCCTTAACTGCTACACCACCTGCCGGCCCCAAAGTGTGCTCTTATGAACTCGGGTGAGGAATGCCTATCTGAGCCCCCTACTCCACAGTGGGGCACATGCCTAGGAGTGGAACCATGGGGCCACGAGACATGCTGATGGTGTGCTGAGGGTTCCGAGCGGAGCCACGTGACACTCTGATGGTGTGCTCGGGGTTCCAAGTGGGGCCATGTGACATTCAGATGGTATGCCGAGGGTTCCGAGTGGGGCCATGTGATGTTCTGATGGTGTGTTTGGGGTTCCGAGCAGGGCCACGTGACGTCCGGACAGTGTGCTTAGGGTTCCGAGCAGGGCCACGTGACGTCGGGACGGTGTGCTGTTTTCGAAGAGCCGCCAGCTCTGCGCGTCAGATAGTGCAGGGGAGCAGCTTCAGTCTGAAAATCTGAAATCCAAAGTGCCCCAAATCTGGCCTCGCAGGACAGCTTACGTTGAGCGCCATTTTGAAATAGGCACTGAGGGCGATGGGCGGGGGCGCTCCACACCACATGATGTTCTGATGGTGTGTTCGGGGTTCCGAGCGGGGCCACATGACGTCTGGACAGTGTACTGAGGGTTCAGAGTGGGGCCACGTGATGTTCTGATGGTGTGCTCGGGGTTCTGAGCGGGCCCACGTGATGTTCTAATGGTGTGTTTGGGGTTCTGAGCAGGGCCACGTGATGTTCTGATGGTGTGTTCGGGGTTCCGAGCAGGGCCACGTGACGTCGGGACGGTGTGCTGTTTTCGAAGAGCCGCCAGCTCTGCGCGTCAGATAGTGCAGGGGAGCAGCTTCAGTCTGAAAATCTGAAATCCAAAGTGCCCCAAATCTGGCCTCGCAGGACAGGTTGCCGTGGAACGCTGTGATGCCAGCTGCCTGTAGGCTGAGTGGGTTAGGGACGCGAAGCCCCAGCTGTGGGGGCGCAGGGGGGGCAGGTTCCATCCCCGAGTTATTTCATTGCAAACTCATTTATGCAAATATTCTAAAATCTGGAAAAACCTGAAATCTGAACTATTTCTGGTCCCACACATATTGTAATGAGTAATACTCAGCCTGTATGTTTAATTTCGTGAGGAAATCCCATTCTTTTTCCACCAACTGTGCATACGGCTTGGGGTCCCGGCTCTGAGCAATGCGCGTCCTTCCTCAGCTCACGCAGATGATGAGACAGAGCGCGTGTGCGTTCCGCTTCGCGTCGTCGCTCCTCCTTCGTGTGGGATGGCACCTCACTGCGACTTGCACGTGCCTTCCCGTGACTACCTACGCTGAAGAACTTTTTATGGGCATCTTGTACTGGCTACTGTGTATCTTTGGAAAAATGTCTGTTTAAGCCTTCTGCCGTAACCAGGTTGTTAGTTGTTGTTACTGAATAGGAGGAATTCCTTATATGTTCTGGAGAGTAACCTCTTATCGCAGGCCTGACCTGCAAACACCTCCTGCACTCCACCCCAGGGGTGGTGGTCCCCATGTAGTACAAGCCACTTGTCTGCTTTGTTGCCTCTCTCTGCCTTTGGTGTCATATCCAAGAAATCATCCTCAACTCTAATGTCATGAAGACTTTCTTCTAATAATTGTGTGTTTTTAGCTCTCTCGTTCATGCATTGATCATTCTGAGGGTATTTTTGTATATGGTGTGAGGTAAGGCTCAGGTTCATTCTCTTGCACGTGTATGTCAGCTTCCATGACACCATTCGTTGAAAAGACTGTCCTTGGGGCCAGCAGGCAGCATAGTGGTTACAATGTTGGATTTCCACATGAGCAGCTAGGGTCATGTCCCGGATGCAGCGTCTTGAAACTCACTCCAGGTGCGTACCCAAAATCTGGAGAGGAGAAGGGGGGGATGATTTCTCACTTTCTCTCTATCTCTGTGTCTTCAGCAAGTACACATACCCTCGCACAAAAATCTCTCAAAAAGAAATTAAAAATGAAAAGGAGAAAGGACAACTTTTTCCTCACCAAACACTCCTGCCTGGCATCCTTGCTGGGCTGTGCCAGGCTCTGGCTCCCATTCCATGGCCCAAGGGCCCATTTTATGCCCGGCCATATGGTCCTGATCACTGTATGCTTATAGTAAGCTTGGAATAGGGAAGTACAAGCCTCCAACTCTATTCTTTTTCAATATCGTTTGGGCTCTTTGGTGTCCATGAGATTCCACATGCATCTTAGGCTGAGGGTTTGTGGGTTGGTTTGGTTTCTGTTTTTGCAGTGAGGAAGCACCCGGGGAGGGGCACACTGCAGTCCTTTCCTCTCTCATCTCCTCGTGGGACTTTGGCCATGCCCATGTTCCTGGCATGCCCTTCAAGCCACGAGGCTGAGACAAGCCACCCAGCCAGCCATGTGGGATCCAGTCGCCTTCATCTGCACACTTTCTCCTAGGCCTATGAATTTTTTTTATCTTATTTCACAAAATCTATCCTTAAATTTTGAGAGTTTCCGCCGAACATTGGCCACACGGCTGGGCTTCTTACTCAGACAGCGGCAGAGGGTGCCGTGCTCTCTAGTCACCAGTACCCATACCCAGTTAAGGCGAGTACATGGCCTTCAGCATACATTCCTTCCTAGCTTAAAGACGTCTTCAGATCTTATTTTCTATTTTATGAGCCTGGAAGGTGCGCAATGAGCAGTGACATAAGGAGTTAGCGTTTCCCGGAACACGCCCTGCAGGGCAGAGGGCAGAGGGCAGAGGTGCCTTTCTGTTTAATTTTCTAAAACTCAGCGTTGGGAAGCTTTTACTGCGATGGTGACTCCCTCGGAAGCCAGCAAGGGCACGGGGTCTCGTTCCCTGGAATCCAGGGTTCACTTTTCACATGGAGATACCAAAACTAGGGTGCGTGGCTGTTGCGGGGCCCACCCAGCACCCCCACGCACGCCGGACGCAGAGGCTCTGGCTGTGCGACCTCCCCTCGTGTGGTTTTCACGCACAAAGCTCGTCTCCACAGCCGAGCACGTCCTTGGTCCTGGGCAAGCACTGAGCTCCATGACTGTGGCCTGAGTGGCCGTTATCCCACCTCAGAGGCCAGTAGGGGACAGCAGAGATGAGCGGGCTAGCCTGAGACAGGGTTAACACGCAGGCAGGAAGCCGCCAAACCCAGCCTGGGTGTCATGGAAACAAGGCTGGGTGTCCATGGGGTGGCAGCAGACAGGGGTAGGGGAGTGGGGACAGAGGAGGGGAGCAGGAGAGGGGGGCAGGGACAGGGGAGCAGCAGACTGGGGTAGGGAGTAGGACAGGGAAGAGGGCAGGGGAGTGGGGAGCAGCAGACGGGGGTAGGACGTGGGACGGGGAGGGGGACAGGGGAGTGGGGAGCAGCGGAGAGGGGCAGGGAAGGGAGGTGGGGGGGATTACAAGAGCAGGGAGCAGGTGAGGGAGGCAGGGGAGGGGAGTAGGGGAGGGATGCAAGGGAGGGGGCCGGTGAGGGAGGCAGGGGAGGGGGCCGGGGAGAGGGACAGAGAGCCCTTCTGGCCCATGGGCAGTGCAGCTGCATGCAGGGTGGGACCTGGAACTGGTTTCTGGTAATCTCTAATACACTTTCCTGCTCTCAGAACTGCCCGAGTGGGCGGGACGGGGTGGCCTAGAGGGTTCTCCCCGTAGGGCAGGGGCTACTGGGCTTCTTCTCTGGTTCTAATGCAGCATGTAGGCAGGCTGGAGCCGGAGGACAAGCTCTGATCCGCCTTACCTGCAGGCCCGGTCGGTCCGGACATCGAGGGTGGGCGCAGTCCGGGGTGCCTGCTGTGCGCCATGCCCTGTGCGATTCTCTGGAAGGGTCCATCCCCTGGCAGGGGAGGAAGGAGCAAGGATGGGCAGAAAGCACTCCCTGATGAGGGGAGACAGGCATTTCAGGGACAGTTCCGGACTGATGGGCTGGGACCCCGTACGGTTTGGGGCCCCAT